CTCACAGATCAGAGACTATTCCATTGGTCCTAGTCATGCTTATGACACACACTCTTGCTCTGAGAATGATTTCAGAGACACTGACAATCAGGCTGATCAACAACAGCCTAGGAGATCTTTAAGAACAAGAAATGTTCCCTCAAAGTTACAAGACTATATTTGTCAGACTACCACATCCAACATCATCATTGCTAGAACTTCTCCTCATTCTCTAGAGAAGTTCATCTCTTACCAAAATTTATCTCCTGATCATAGAATGTGTGCAGCTGTTATTTCTTCCTCTGAGGAACCACAATCTTATCAAGAAGCAGTATTACATTTGGAATGGAGACAAGCCATGGAAGCTGAGATAAATGCTTTAAACCAGAACAAAACTTGGATCTTAACAGAATTGCCAGCTGGTAAAACCCCCATTGGTTGTAAATGGGTGTATAAAGTGAAGCATAGAGCAGATGGCTCTATAGAGAGGTATAAGGCCAGGCTGGTTGCAAAGGGTTATACTCAACAATTAGGTGTTGATTACATTGAAACTTTCTCACCTGTGGCTAGGATGACCACAATCAAAACCTTCTTGGCTGTGGTTGCTATTAAGGGTTGGAACATTCAGCAACTTGACATCAACAATGCTTTGTTACATGGTGACTTAGAGGAGGAGTCTACATGGTATTACCCCCTGGTTTTAAGAATGGGAAGCCAAATCAGGTATGCAAGCTCATGAGATCCCTGTATGGTCTTAAACAGGCAAGTAGGCAATGGAATGCCAAGTTGACTAAAGCTTTACAAGTGTATGGTTTCCAACAATCTTCTGCAGATCCCTCTTTGTTTACTAGACAAACAGGAACATCTTTCATTGCCTTGTTGGTGTATGTTGATGATATTCTTTTGGCAGGAAATAATTCTGTTCAAATAAATGAATTGAAGCAGTCATTGGATAAAGATTTCAAGATCAAAGACTTGGGCAACTTGAATTATTTCTTAGGCATTGAAGCCTTCAGAACTGATGCTGGAATTAACATTTGCCAAAGGAAATATGCTTTGGAGATCCTAAAAGAACATGGTTTTTTGGAAGCCAAGCCAGCTAAGACTCCTGCTGTCACAGGACAGAAACTAAACAACACTGATGGGATTCCCATCACACAACCTGAAGTTTTCAGAAGGTTAGTTGGGAAACTCTTGTACCTAACCAATACTAGACCTGACATCTCTTATGCAGTCCAGCAGCTAAGTCAATTTGTGGAGAAACCAAGAGACACTCATATGGTAGCAGCTCATAGGGTGTTAAGGTACCTAAAAGGGGCACCTGGAAAAGGCTTGTTCTACCCTTCTAATTCTCCTATGAAATTGCAAGGATTTTCAGACTCAGACTGGGCAACCTGTGTGGATAGTAGGAAATCTGTGACAAGATATTGTATTTATCTTGGCAATTCTTTGATCTCATGGAAAACCAAGAAGCAAGCTACAATCTCTAGATCATCTTCTGAGGCAGAGTACAGGGCCCTAGCATCCACAACTTGTGAGGTACAGTGGTTGTTATTTCTGTTAGCAGATTTGAAGGCAACATTCTCTACTCCAGTAACTTTGTATTGTGATAACAACTCTGCCATTGCTATTGGTGAGAATTTTGTCTTCCATGAACGCACCAAACACATTGAGATTGATTGTCATGTGGTTAGACAAAAGATCAATGAAGGGGTTGTCAAACTTCTTGCTGTTTCTTCCCAGAATCAGACTGCAGATGGCTTCACAAAAGCCTTGCCTAAGCCCTTGTTTGACAAGTTCCATGATAAGCTGGGCCTTCAAGATCTTCATGCTCCAGCTTACGGGGGGTGATGAAGTAATGATGCATCTTCAATCCCTTCAATCCTCTCAAACATCTCAAATATTTGCTTGCAGCAGTCCAGTTCAGCTCCTCTTTGCTTTGCTTTCTTTCTTAGCTTAATAAGTCAGGGGTTTATTATTAGTCTTTTCCCTTTCCCTTGACAGTTATAACGGCTTGTCTATATAGCCTATGATGTGTAAGCTGTAGACAAGTTGATACTTTCATCTCTTCTTCCAACCTGTAAACACATGAACTCTCTTCATCTTCTTCAATGGAATGCATACTGTTTTTCTTCTAGTCCTTGAGGTTTCTCAACATGGCAGCCATTTTTTGGGTATGATAAAGGCGAGATTGGAAGTGAAAAATAATATTAATAATAAATTAAGACCACGTTAGATTTTACATGTATTTCTATGGAGTTGTCACTCAATTTATAGCAACTAACAGTTGCTATGTCTTCTCCAATAATAAAATGAAAATATCTGTAAGGATTGATATATGAGAGGCTCTTAATAGCCAGATGCCTGATCAGAAATCATGACCTCAAAAATGAAACCTCAATTTAAACGTGATGGAAGGCAAGTTTCTAAGGAATCTTAATTATGTACCAAGATTCATGACTCATGTTATCAGTAATCCATGTATCAATCATGCAATAGTCATATCATGGACGATGAAGGAACACGTAGCAATATACACTCAAGATATTATGTTGACCTGCTCAATCTTAACTGCACAACATGCTATGATACCAATTATTACGATTACTATTACGCAAAAATTGCAATTAGTAGTGAAAACGCAAATTTATTTCATTATATTTGCATTGCAGTCAGCGTCACATTTCAGTGACATGCAATATATATGCTGGATGCGACCCTCCAATTCTCTGTCCAATAATAAATTCACTACTATAATTTCATAAAATATATATATATTCAAAGACTTGTGGAAAATTCATTTATGTTCTTGTATTCAAGTTTGATGTTAAAAGTTCACATTCAACATATCATCAAAGAAAATTTAGATTTGGGTCACCCCTCTCAAGTTGGTCAAATTATTAGCTTGATCACCACAATGTTAAAAATTTGACAATCTAAGTTGGTCTAATGTATTCTCGATTAGAACTAATTTTAGCTTTACCTCAATTGTTCTCTTTAATTTTGCATGCCCAAGATTTTTATTTTATTTTATTTTGATCTTCATAAAGGCGGCAAATGTACTTTTAAATAATGTACTCACTAGTACAAAAACAGTCATTCGCGTCCAAAGTTAAGGCTAAAAGATGTTCAAAGTTGCTTGGACGCGGATGTAGGAGACGCTAATTGTATATACAATTAGCGTCCAAGGTAACTTTGGACGCGAAAAATGATAATGCGCATCCAAAGTTCTTCAAAAAATGATTATTCGTGTTCAAAGTTGGAGAACTTTGGACGCGAAAAATGATTATTCGCGTCCAAAGTTGGAGAAGGCGACAGCGCTGGAGACCCGCGGCGATGGAGGAGGCGACGTCGCTGGAGACGGCCGGCGATGGAGGAGTGCGAGACGACGGGAGATGGAGAGCGGCGTCGGTGGCTATGGAGACAACGAACGACGGGAAGATTGGAAAGCGACAGCGGCAGAAGACGAAGTGTATTGGTTTGAAGTGGGTGAAGACGACGGGAAGGGTTTTGATCTGAAAACAAAAAATAATCGCGTCCAAAGTTTGAACGCGTATACATTGGGCATCCAAAGTTACTTAACTTTGGACGCCCAGTGTTTTATTTAAAAAAAAAAAAACAAAAAGAATTTAATTATATAGTGACATTTTAATTAAAAAAATGTCACCGCCTCTCACATTACACGTCCAAAGTTTAAACTTTAGACGCGAATTATTCGATTTTATTGATGTTTTTTGTACTAGTAACTTTATGTATACAAATGATATACATTTTATTTATGGTCTATGCAATAATGGTTGCACAAATACATACAATCAGAACATAACTAAATTTCATATGTAATAGCTCATAAACCACACAAGAGAGGTAATCAACTTAGGTTGTCCATAGTTAATTGGTTCAAAACTAAAAAGGCTAATACGTACCATAGAGAGTCGAATTTGAAACCTTGTAGTTATTAAATCAATTGTCGACTAATTGTCTGCCCCACTGATTGGGTTAGAGGATATGACCAGTCGATAACATTAGCTAATTGTAGAAAGGTATTTGGTAATTAGTTGTTAGCTGATAATTGTTTGATATAATTTCTTTTCTCAAAAAAACTAACTAAAAAAGTTATTTTGAGCAGTTTTTTGAATTTTAGCATTTTGAAGTTACAAAAAACTTATTAACCAAATACTTATATTAATTTTTTAAACTAAATTAAACAATTAATAGTAATCAAATAAAATAAAATTGATTAATTGGCTAACTATTCTACCAAACGACGATAATAAGTTTTCTGCATTTTAGATTCTTAGAAAACCCCCAATAATGACTAATGACTATTGGGTACTATTATGAGAACAACCCACGTATTGTCAAATTCAATACAAGGTGACACAAATTTCTAACAAAAAAATTAACAATTTAAAATATGAATAATATCATACTCTTTTTTTTTTTTTTTTTCATTGGCATCATTCAGAAAACGGGACGGAAATTCTCCGTCCCCGAAAAATTCCCGCCGGGGAACGGGGTGGGGACGGCTAGCCCATTAGTTGTGCCTTGAGTTAGCCTCTGACCAAACATATGCCTACGGTCAACATGCCTGTCGGGGCACTTAGTGTGAGCAATTTATTAATCTTATTGGTTTAAGTCGGTCAATTATGAGTCATTTAAACTAATTTATTTTTTTTATGGTCCTTTTGTCTGCTGGGATCATAAGATAAACTTTACCTATAGCACAGATTCAAACAGCGGTTGCAGGTTTTCCAATAAATCAAAGTTCAACATGCATGTCTATTTTTATTGTTATGTTAAATTATATGCACGCTCATTCCTATCATTTTATAGGCTCAGGACATGACCAAATAATAATAATAATAATAATAATAATAATAATAATAATAATAATAATAATAATAATAATAATAATAATAGACCCACCCAAAAGTTTATATATATATATATATATATATATATATATATATATATATACCTAAAATTTAAATTAAATAAGAAAAAAAATACTAATGAACTTAACCAAACAACTAAAAAAATTAAATAATACATTCTCTTTATTTGAACCATAAGTGCACATAAAACAACAAATTAAATATTAAAGCAACACTATCATATTAAAGATCGTACAATCTTAATTTCTTTTATGAATTTATAGGACTGGATCAACCAACAATGAGGTAATGAAGCCTTTCAGCTTGGTTTTGGAATGTGTATATGAATCCCCATCACTATATATTGAATCCATTACTCTTGAGAAGTTGAGGACTCTAGTGAGTATAGGCATGGGTACAAGAGCATTAAGACATTCTTGATTAGTATCTTTCCATGCATTGATGACTTGTTCTTGCAGCTCGATGTAAGTATCTTCTTTCGATGTTTTATATTGGTTCATGTAGCACTCAACGGATGATGCCGCGTGTCCTCTTTGTTGCTCAAACTATATACAATAAATATATATATATATATATATATATATATATATATATATATATATATATATTTATACAAATTGAGTGTTAGTTCCTACGATCCATCTTAAACACAAATTAGTTTTTTATCTATTCTAATTTACTGTTTCTTAACCCAATCATTCTAATATGGACTACCTTGTCTTGAAAAAGACAATCATATTACTTTAATCTTTGCTACCTCAAGTTTGGTCCATAGAGTAATCATATGAGTCTACATAACAAGACTACTTTTATTATGGTTGGTCCCCACTAAATATTGTGACAATTAATGTACGCATATAGATCGTGTATATATATATATATATATATATATATATATATATATATATATATATTTAAGATCATATGAGAACACTTAGATCATATGAGAACACTTACTTAGGAACGAGAAAACAAATCGTGTGCATTCATCTAATATTTTTTAATGGGCTAGATTAGATTCAGTGTGTGCGAACGCGCATTAAATGTGTGCAAACGCGATTAAGTGTGTTTGCACACATTTAATGCGCATTCGCACACGCTTAATCTAATCTATACCATTAAAAAATATTAGATGGATGTACATGATGTGTTCTCATGTTCTCACCTAAGCATATATTCTCACTGAAACTCTACCGAAAAGGTCAAAGATAACTCCTGTTAGGAGTCGAACTTGTAACCTTGAGATTACCAAGTTAACCAACTAAAAGTATTTACTTGGCCCAAAATTATTGATTGAGCTAGCCATAAATAATATTTTTGTTGCTATTACCTCATGACCAGCTATGTCATCCATTAATCTGCAAACAACCGATACAGCTTGAACAATTAATGGCCCCTTACTCATCGAATAAAACACATCTTTTGTTACAAAATCCTCTTGCATGCCTACTAGAGAAGTTATTGTTAACATCCTTACACCACACGTTTCAGTTGCAAGCTTCATGTACTCCTCAAACTTTGGAAAATATCGGTCACGAAACCATTTGTCTTCTTTTAGATATGTCCTTGCTAAATTTTTCATCTATAACATAACCAGAGAAAATTAAAGTTTAAAGATTTATGCAGACATCAATAAAGGGCACTATTATTGAACCTGTAATATACTATACCTCAGTTTTGGCATAATCGATACGATACAATTTACCAGTCTCAGTTAACTCTTTCTCCATTTCAACATAAACATCGAGAAGAGCAATGTAGCAAACTTTCATATAATCTGGTAATTTATTTGTTGCAGTAGCATCCCATCTGCGGAGAAAAATTATATTTTCTATAAAAGAGATAGATTAAATTGTCTCAATTAATAATCTACTATACGATGAGTAAAAACTGCAGAACTAACCTTTCAATTGCATCTGTGAAGAGTTGGAGCTCGTTAGGAGTTCCATAGACATCATATATATCATCAATAATTGAAGACATAGCGATGACTTTAAGGAAAAATTTCCTTGCTAGAGAATATTGTGGTTCAAAGTATATTCCCATCGTCCAAAAGTACCCTTCCACCAATCTATCTCTTGCAAAAGGAAAATTCTTTGAAACGTCCAAGTCCTTCCACCATCTACATTATAATGAATATATAGACACTGCTTAATATTATAATAGTTAACTTGAAAGGCAACTGATCGCCTTCTCCGTCCCTGGGAGATGGCCACGCCTTCTCTGGCTACGCCTTGGTCTCCATAGCCAATTTTTATTGTCGATTAACTACCAGAATTTTAGTGACTTGATATTACAGGTCACATGAACTAAATTGACACGTCGTATATGTACCTAATTGCAACTTTAAAAAGTTTGAGAATCTAATTGACTTTTTACTAATATTTTTTTTAAACTTTACCTTGTGAGAATACCTAACTCCCTTTGGTGTAACTTCTGCAACATGTTGAAGTCCAATTTTGCAAATTTTAACAACATAGGATCATGTGTTTCATCAACTTCATAAATTGATATGTATCTTTTTGCTTCTAGTCTCCTTATTCTTTTGTGAAATGGCTGCCTTAAAGCTTCACTGACTTCTGTTCTAAGAGGACTGCTCAAGTTTGGAAGCATGGATTGTAGATGAGAAATGGTGAATATTAGTGCTTCCTCCAAAATCTTTTCTCCATGTACTCTGAGATGTGACGCCTCGTACAAGCTCAACATTGCTTGCACATTGTTTATCAACGACTCCTTGAACTTGCCTTGAGTGTTCTTGAACTTTTCAAACACATCTGTTAAAAGCATTGCACAAAAAATTCATTTCTGAAATTCAAAATTCGATCAAGATCCTATCTAGTTTCACACATTTATTATATTTTATGGTATACTTACTACTTGATATTGGATATCCTTCTTGTCTAAGTAATCGAAAGCCCAAAGAGACAGTGTAAAGATTGTTATCATCTTCCTCCACATTGAATTCGTCGAAGGCCTCAAATATGTGTTGCAAGGTAGCTTCAATCTCCTTTTGAAATTGATAACACACTCCTAAGTGTTGGATCTTGTTAATCAAGTCCAGTTTTTGGGAAGTAGTTTGTTGGGCTTCCATAATCATGTTCTTCAACTTTTCCCTTAGATGTTGATGCTCTTGCCATTCCGGTGCATCCACATCCACCTGGGTCCATATACAAGCACAACACTTATTAATTTTCAAGTGTTTACTGTTATATCAAAAATTAATTTTCAAGTGTTTACTGTTATATACAAAATTATAACTAATAACAAATTGAATGTTTTTATATTTTTATACATGCATAGCAGCCAGTAGTGGCGGAGCCACAATGGGGGCAGTGGGGGCAGCTGCCCCCACTCACCCCTCCGCAATTTGTATATATATATATATATATATATATATATATATATATATTTATATATGTAAAGATCACTAAAGGATTTAGTAGCTCAATTGGTTGAACCTTGGTTATGATATATGAAATGGGGAGGCGGGTTTGAAACCCACCTCCAGTGTTTTACTTTCTTCCCAGCTTTAATAAATGTTCGAAACCCACCTGTATTTTACTTTCTTCCCAGCTTTAATAAATGTTCGAAACCCACCTGTAGCACTTTTCTTTCTTCCCACCTATTAATAAATTTTTCCCACCTGTAGCACTTTTCTTTCTTCCCAGCTATTAATAAATTTTTCTTTTTTAAATTAAAGTATTTATTAATATAATTTCTTTTCTGCTCAAACTATTTTATCTAATTGATTATGTTTTATATTTAATATTTATGAATATAATTTCTTTTCTATTCTAATGATTTTATTTAATTGATTATGTTTTACATTTTGCTATAATATTATTATAACATTTCAAAGTGTTCTAAAATTTCACTCTACCCAAGTATAGTTTTGGCTCTGCCCTTAAGTAGTTTAACATAAATATTCTATTATAATTTATAATATATTTGAACCATATTATAGGTGTTTGATATTTTAGCATTAACAATTCTAATGTCATTTTAAGTATGCCCCCACTGACATAATTTTCTGAATCCGCCACTGACAGCCAGGGTCATGATCGATGCTGAACTTTACTAACCAGCCCTCCGCCCAACAAAAATAAATGTTATACCCTAAAAATAAGTGTATAAAGGTTACCTTGGGTTGAGAAGAATAAGAGAGGAAATAGTCACCCCAAACGCTTGGATGAAAACCGGCAGAACGACGATTAACGTCATGCAATTGTGTTTGGTCCGATGTAAGAACGGATAATGGTAAGAGTACTATTGGCGGCCATTTTTTGGGTATGATAAAGGGAGAGATTGGAAGTGAAAAATAATATTAATAATAAATTAACACCACGTTAGATTTTACATGTATTTCTCTGGAGTTATCACTCAATTTATAGCAACTAACAGTTGCTATGTCTTCTCCAATAATTATATGAAAATATCTGTAAGGATTGATATATGAGAGGCTCTTAATAGCCAGATGTCGAGTTAATACCATTTGAGGTCCTCCGAGTATAGTGGTTTTGTCACGTTTAGTTCTAAACTTTCAAATTGACCGTTTGTGGTCCTTCGACTTTCAAATTTAACCATCTGTGGTCCAAGTTAACCATCTATGGTCCTTCAAGTTTCAAAATTTAACCAGTCGTGGTCCTCTTAAAAGGACCATGGTTGGTTAAAATTTAATAGTTGAAGGACCATGGGTGGTTTACTTGGACCACGGATGGTTAAATTTGAAAGTCGAAGGACCACATATGGTCAATTTGAAAGTTTAGGACTAAACGTGGCAAAACCACTATACTCGGAGGACCTCGGATGGTATTAACTCGCCAGATGTCTGATCAGAAATCATGACCTCAAAAATGAAACCTCAATTATTTCAACGTGATGGAAGGCAAAAATGAAACCTCAATTATTTCAACGTGATGGAAGGCAAGTTTCTTGGACTCTTATGTACGAAGATTTATGACTCATGTTATCAGTAATCCATGTACCAATCATTCTTCCAAAATGTTGAACTCCAACCATAAGGGCCCTTCACACTCCAACCCGACAGAGCATTTGAGAGGATGTAAATCATGGTAATTCAATTGAACATGAACCACAAAGGCTAGACCTTTGCTTACTGCGCACAAGGAGCCTCCCTCACTTTGAGAGGTTGCTCCCACACTGCCGCGGGTGAGACTCGATTCCAATCATACAATAGTCATATCATGGACAAAAGAACACGTGGCAAGATACACTCAAGATATTATGTCGACCTGCTCAACCTTAACTGCACAACATGCTTTGATACTAATTATCACGATTACCATTACGCAAAAATTGTAACTAGTAGTGAAAACGCAAATTTATTTCATTATACTTGCATTGCAGTCAACGTCACAGTTCAGTGACAATATGTTGTATGCGACCCTCCAGGCTCCAGTACTCTGTCGGGCCGGGGTGTGGGGGACCCTTAAAGTTGGGGTTCAACCTTTTGGAAGAATAATAAATTCACTACTATAATTTCATAATATATATATATATTCAAAGACTTGTGGAAAATTCATTTATGTTCTTGTATTCAAGTTTAATGTTAAAAGTTCACATTCAACATATCATCAAAGAAAATTTAGATTTGGGGCCACCCCTCTCAAGTTGGTCAAATTGTTAGCTTGATCACCACAATATTAAAAGTTTGACTTTTAGTAGGAGCGGCCTATTGATCTTCTTAGACAATCTAAGTTGGTTTATCTTTTTTGTATTCCTTTGCCGGTTAGGATCACAGTACACACTTTCAAATAGTGATTGCATATTTCCCTTGTCACTCAAAAAAAAAAAATCAATTTATATTAGAGAATTACTTAGATCCTTGACAGAACATTGCTCAATCTCTTTTTGTTTTCTTTCCTTGAGATGAATAATACAAATATTTTTCTTTACTAAAATCATTAGCTAGTGTTTATTACATGACATAGAATTATTTATAAGTTTTTTCCAAAAAGAAAAGAATTTCTTTTTTCACTAGCTAGCTACTTGTAAATTGATTAATTCACTACAAATTAATAATCTATTAAATATTAAAAAAAAATCGGATAAACATTAATTAAATCGTAATAATTTACTAATTTTGGTTGGAACATAACATTATTTTTTCCACATGGTTTTTATTTCCACCAGTACCAAACGAGTGGACTAGTTACAATCGTGCATTGGAAGTTGGAACCCACCCTTGGGACTAATTTAATTCAGTCCATTAATTGGGTGTTGCTATTTGCACCACCCTTTGACTAAATATGGTGTAAAGTATCATTGAAAATGTAAAAAGGTGGTAAATTATAATAAATATATGGGTGGTGCAAATAGCCTAATGGGTGGTCAAAATGCTATTTGCACCACTCTATTAAAACTACATTTATGAGATCAAAATTTAATTCTAAAAAAAAAAAACAAAAAAAAAAAAAAAAACAAAAAAAAAAAAAACAAAAAAAAACAAAAAACGAAGAAGCAACCATCGCCTTCTCCGGTGAGAAGGCAGCCCAGTTGCCTTCTCCGGTGAGAAGGCAGTCCCTCACCTTCTCACCGGAGAAGGTGACCGGGATCCCTTTTTTTTTTTTTTTTTTTTTTCTCTGCCTCCTTGCCTTCCTGCCGTCCATTTTTTTTTTTTTCAATATATATTTATTTTAAATTTATGGTTTCAATAGATACTTGTATTTTGAACTTGATAATTTTAATACATATATTTTTTAAATTTACAATTTCAATTCATATTTTTTAGTTAATATTGTTGTTTGTGAAATGAAACGACTTGTATTTTGAACGGCAAGGAATTCAAATTGGACTTAAATGGCTCTATATATATGTGGTGTGTGTGTGTGTGTGATGTACATGTCATACAATCAACAATTTACAAGCTATGGACGGTTGGATAGATAATTTGTTTAGCTACAACGATCAAAATCAAAGCCAATTTTTTAGTTACAATGGTCAAAATCAAAATCAACAACATTACGAGGTATTTTAATTTTTTTATTTGAATTGTTACTGAAATGTTACAATTGAACTTATGTATATTTGTTCATTGCTTTTATATATGTGTGTGTGTGTGTGAACTTAGTAAATTGAATATTACGTATTATTTATATATTCATTGCTTTTATATATTATTTAGAAATTTAGATATGTATTATTTTTGATTACAAATTCATTGCTTTAATATATCAATATTGAATATATTATTTTGTCTTTATATATTAAGAGTTGTTATTTGTTTGTTTGTTTAGGACGAAAATGCAATCGAACTTTATGATGACAATAGAAATAAAGATGATGATCAAGTGAACCTAAATCTCGAGGTTGCATGCGAATTGTCTACAGAAACGGTAAACAAAATTCATACGCATATAAGAGCTCCATATTGATTTATATATATATATATATATATATATATATATATATATATATATATATATATATATATATATATATATATATATATGCATGTTGACTAATAGCATCATGGGACTATATTATTTTTTTTTTTAATTATTATTATTAACTTGTAAGCATGTAAGCAACAACATGTTTGTATGTATTGTGCTTTAATTAGTACGTATACTTAATTTCTGTTTTTGTTTTTGTTTATTTTTTTTTTTTTAATTTGTTGGTATACATGCATGTAGTCATTCACGCCTTAATACTCAACTTAACATTTTATAATCTTATACCCACTTTTTATGATTATAATTAATTAGGTATTTTTATTATTGATACAAATAATTTTTTTATTAGGCATTCATGTCTCGCGAAGATTTAATTGAATGGGTTCAAAGTAGAGGTCGGGATCTCGGATATGTTATTGTGATTAAAAGGTCCCGGAATAAAAGTCCTACAGTTATATTTCAGTGTGACCGTGGTGGTACTTACGTGCCAAAAAAAATCTCATCTAAAAACACGGGTACAGGAAAAATTGATTGTCCATTCCAATTGGAGGGGAAATACATACGTGTTGATGGTTGCTGGAGGGTAAGGGTAATATGTGGAGTACATAATCATGATCCTGCATTGCACCTTGAAGGTCACCCTTATGCAAGGCGATTATCAGGAAATGAAGTCGAATTGGTGGAAAATTTGTCAGCGATGCATGTGAAACCACGAGATATTTTAACGTCCGTGAAGATGCAAAATCCGGATAATGTTTCCATCACAAAAACCATATACAATGCACGCCAAAAATTCCGGATGATGGATAATGCAGGGAGTTGATCGCGCCATCTACAACTTCGATCCGTGAGCCAGCCGTGCAAATAAATGTTCGTGGGCGTCCGACTTCAAAAAACAAATCTCTCATAAGAACTCTATCTCTCAAAAAAACTCAAGCCGAGCCAAATAATATTCAATTTCAAGAACAAGCTCGGAATAGTTGTTCAACTGCACCAACTTCAGGTGATAGACACTTTTACCATCCATATATGCTTCAACTTCCAGTTATATTCCATCCTTTCATCATGCAAGTGCAAGATGTGAGATCTGACGGAAACTGTGGATTTCGAGCCGTAGCTCTCTGTCTCGGTTTTAAGGAAGACGAATGGTTCAAAATTCGATCCAATTTAATCGAAGAACTAGAGTCTCACACAATGGAATATACCGATATGTTTGGAACTCAAGGATGGTATAATGTCTATAACATGTTGAATTTTTTTGCACAAGATCGGTGTGCACCAGTTGAGCACTGGATGACTATGCCGGAGATGGGTGTACTAATTGCTTCCCGATACAATGTGATACTACATGTTTTGAGTATGGCCGGCAGTACAACATATTTACCACTTCGATCTAGCCCACCACCTTGGTACGAGCATGTAGCAATAACCCTCGGTTATGTTAATAATAATCATTATGTTAAGGTAACATTGACAGGAGGGTACCCAATGCCTACAATTGCTCCACAATGGGCTTATTTTAGATATGATTGTGCAAATGCATGGATGACTCCATATATGAATAGGATTGAAAGTTACAATGAGCATGTACGCTCTAATTGTACTCGGGAAAATGTTATATTAGATTGAAATTGAATGAATTTATTTTTTATTTTTTTTATTGTGAAGTTAATGTATTTTTACAATTTTTAGCGATTCAAATTTAATTTATTATATCTCTATAAAAAAAATAAAATAATGTATACAACAAATTTAAGTTATAAAAAATATTAAAATAACAAAATTAATCATTATTTTTTTATTTAAAAATTAAACCATAAACAAAAAACAAGTATTGAAAATAGAAAGTTAAAAAAAATGTATTGAACAAAAAAAATAAGTATTGAAAATAAAATTTAAAAACATATGTATTGGAAATAAAAA